AGCTCAGTGGATCCTACATGGGCCGCCAGAATTCTATTAGAAAGAACTGATATCGCTGCCATCCGGATTGCCGATAACCTGTTGGTCACAAAATGTCGTCAGCTTACACCAATATTCGTCTACGATAATCACACGATTGATGGAACATGCTGCACTATGATGCCAGTAAGCATCAATAACGACCTCTGGTTTAATGTACCCGGAACACAGGATTTAATAGAATCTTCCGGTACTGTTCCATGCCCGCATCCATCTCCTAAACGGGCTAACAAGACGCAAAGTCTTTTATTGCCAAATACCGTCAACAACCACGCAAAACCCTTTCTCTTTAGTAGTCCACCTACGTTTTATCGCATTCTCGACAACTGCGCATTATCAGCTATTCCGTACTTGGAAGCGCTGAAGGAGGAACAAGTGAACATGGCTGTGCGCCTTCAGAAGCGTGGAATCATAAAGGAGAATGTTTCACGGATACGTAATACCAGTATGTTCGTAGGTCAATCTCTGCTGTCCCTTCATGAGTCGGCAACGCAAAAACTTTTGGTAGGTGTGGAAGATGGTGGAATGGTCAAATGGTCAATTCTATACACGATACTATGGATCGCCATACCAGTCACGATCATCTTCTTCTGCGTAGTAGCTTGCGTGATTTACGCGAAGCTTTTCTTTTTCAGGCGAGCAACATCAACTGCCGCATCAGCTATGTTCAGCAAGGAATTTTACTCCTAAACGGAGAAGCCAAAGACCACGTGCGGTAAACATGCTAATGGTAGAACTATCACAGGAAGCGGACGAGCAGGAGCAACTTTTTGTGCCACGCATCTACGCAGTCGAAATGCAGAAATCTACACTTACCCTAGCTGGAAGTCAAAATTGGAAGTAATTCTGTGACGGCATTGTTGGATAGCGGTGCAGCCTTATCGTACATGAGGATGTCCACGTCATTAATGATAGGAAATTCGGAACAGCTTATGAGGACATCGAAGATGGCGACAATTGCGAACGGCACCATGATAAAGTTAGTGGGCTCACTCTTCCTGCCAGTTCCAGTAGGAACACATACTATCATGCATTGCTTTTACGTACCAG